ATAAACACACACATATACAAGCTCATATATACAGGAGTATATAAATGAAATATACATTTTGGCAGTCGCTACTTGCGCTGGGAATTGAAGACAGAAGTGGAGAAGTTGAGAAATACTATAAGTTGTCTCGAATTTGTTTGCCCTGCTGAATTTTCATTTCAATTTTCCAGCTGCAGTTTTATTTAATCTCACTTCAGGTGCAACGAATGCGTTCGAGTGTTTACCTTGTCGGAGTGCCGTTTGCCTCGGACTGGGTGGCCCTAGATGTGGCACGTGTTTACTCTGTCAGTCGAATTTCGTCGAAATGCATGCGGCTTAACTAAGACTTACTACTCCTTCACATCAATTCACTGTTGGCCTGTATATTCTGTAGCCATTAAGCATGTTGATCCATCTGTCCATTCCTACAAACCGTCGATGTAAGCTTTTCCTTAGCTAAAATCCATAAATTCTGTAAGCGTGACGTTCTTGGCAAATGCAATCAATCAAAATCGATATTTGGACTTGTTTTTTTAAGCAAAATTTATCTGCATCGTTTGATAGCTAGTTTAATTTTACTGATTATGCGGGCCAATTAAATATAGTTTTCAACAATCATATTAGTCTAAACTGCAATCTCAGATTTATTTTTTAAGCACCCAAAACTAAAATTGTGAAAATCGATGTTCTTGGCTTCATTTCAAATCCTGTTACACAAATACAATTTCTCAACCTCACGCGATGCGGTTGCGTTATGTTTCTTCTATTTAAGAATATATTTAATATTTAAGAATTAGTATTCAATAATATATAATATAAATATATATATATATATATAATTTAAATACTATAAATAATATAAATCAATAATATAAATATATATATAATATATATTAAACTATATATTATACTATAAAAAGATTAGATTACATTCTAGAAATAAATATATATTTATCAGAGTATAATCGCATATTTATATTAATAAACTGTTCTTCACTTGGACGCATTTTAGGGATTTTCTTTGCCATTGATCCCAACACCGCGTTCGTATGCCATTTAACAAGCTCCAACTTGTCAAAGAATTATTATTTTCAAAAATATATGTGGAGTTTCATTTGGTTACCTGTAACTATTATCGTGATCTCCATACTCAGATTCTTTTATCTCGATATTCATTTTAAAAATCTTAAGATAAATGTGCAAACTATGTTGGTTTTACTTCGTCAAAAAATGTGGCATATAAAATTTTCCAATTTACAGGAGCTACATCGATACTCTACCCATCCGCGTTCGAAGTTTACGGATCCATCTTGACGATACTGAATTATTTTTCAACCGAAATCATTAAATTATGAAAGGGATTTGAACCAGGGATTCTTATTTCATAAGTTCTTGTTAATTTACCTATGCAGCTGGAAGAAAAATCTTCAATGTCTTTTATTATACTTTGAGTTATCTTTGTATCAATCTCTTTAATTTTGTTCGCATTAGCAATATATATGGTTTTGGATTTTATTCAATAATTCCCCTTATTTATTATATTGTTTATTTGCACTGCCTAATTTAATTAACAATAAAAACATGCAAAAGTAAAAATAAGATAATCACTTCGAGACTTCGTATGTAATTTGTTAGATCGTTGAGCTTTTCTTCATTAGTCTCCTTAGATTGCCATCCAATCGATTGCAGGAAGCTACATATTGCATAGGGGGCTTAACTACCTTCTAATAGTTGCTTCCACACTGCTCATCTGTCTTCTTCGAAACACTGCAATGCTGAAATATACGGATTAAGCTCACAATTGTAGATTTATTCATTCCATTCAGTTTTCTTGTAGGTGTTAAGCTCACAGCAGTCTCATCATATTAATGACAAAGGGGATTGCTTTCTGAATATATACATTTCAATTGATTCAATTGAGTTGATTACTGACTGAAATCTATTCCTATTCAAAAAAGTCATTTCATGATTCCAAATCGAGTTCCAAATCAATGTTGAGCTTAGTGGGAATTTCAGGGTAAAACATATTAAACATTTATATAACATATATGTGTGTATATTTGTGAGTATATTTTTTTGTGTTCAAACATATACACTTTGGAATTTAGTATACTTCTATTATCAGTTAAAGAATATAAATTTATTCATATATATTTTAAATTTGTGGAATTGTTGAAATGTCCATAAATCATTTAATTTATGTACTCTGTAGTAAACATATATTATATATATGTCTATACACGATCAGCAAAAGTCGAACAGTCGATCTAGCCGTGTCCGTCTCGGCATAGCTATACAATTTGATATACGCGGAACAAGTCTATCGTTTTTTTAATTAATAGTTAATTTCATTTTTTAATCAATTACAAATTTCTTTTTAATGAGTTAATGAGTTGCTTGTTATATTTGTTTTAAAAATGAAGAAAGTATATTCGCTTGATGCTAGACAATTGAAATTGGGATTAAATAGTGTATGCATGATTGACTGTCTTCTTATAAGCTGTTCAATTGCTCTGCCGACAGTCTTAAGAAATGATGTATGACAAGTAGATACCACTGTATTTTCTATAATTTTATTATTATTTATTATTTAAACTATTTTGTTGATGTGAGCGAGTATGATGCATTCTCTTGCGCACAACTGCAGCTTTCATAACTGAAATACAAATGTTTTAATTGCCGGAGACTATAACTAGAATGTTTGGATGTAGTATGTGTTAGTCATACACATTCTGTCAGCCAATGCAGCCAAGCAGTCGTTTTGTGAATTCCAGCATTTTGCATTGGTTAATTTGCGGTATATTCTGAGTGTGTGGTCATTTTAGAGCGATATATCACATAATCTAATGCTGTGGCTGTGGAGAGCCGAGTGCAGCTGTGGGCCGAGATCATTTCTGGTAACTCTGGGCAATAACTTTGGCTATTACTTCGGCATTGTTGCAGTTGCAATGACAAAAGTTTAGCAAACAAAACTGTTTTTCTCAACGCCCAGGGTCGACGTCGATGAGGATGGCTTTGGCTGCTTTTCCTTTTCCGACTCCTGCTGCCCGTTGCTGGCAATTGCAGTTAGGAGGCGTTGGAGTCGCAGTCTCGAGCACCTTTTTCTTTGCATATTTGTTTTGAAAACTTTTCAATTGCTTACTGGATTTTCACACAAATAAGATGCGCACACACATGCACACCCACTCTCAGAAAATGTGGAAAAGCGATGAGGAAAATATTGGGAAAAAGGTGGGGAAAGTTTGAGAGACTCTCGTCTTGTATATACAGTCTCTTTCCCTTGTTCTCGGCCCTTTGGACTTTTCACATGGGTTCGTTCGTTTCTGCCTTTTGCAATTTGTTCCCAATTGATTTCAAACACTTCAAATTTATTGGTTTTCAAAAACTTTTCGAATTTTATTGTTTCCGCTAATTCTTTTGTCCAGCTCAACAGACGCAGCCGGTCAGAGACAAACAGCCAGGCATTCAACAGTCGGTCTAAGTAAAAAACAAACAAGTCGGTAATGCCGTTGCTAAGAGAGGCGGATGATAGCTTTTGTGGAAAGGAATAGTGCAGGATGCGCAGTGCATCCTGTCAGCTATGAAAATGGCCAAAGATATATGCACCAAAGTTAGGCCGGAAATGAAAGTCATAGAAATGAAGCACTCTATATATATGTATATATAACTATATGTATTTGGATTGGGTCTTATCTAGCATTTGTTTTTAAAGTATGTGAGCTTTGGGCTTAAATGACATTTCAATAAACCTACAACATATGTTGGGGTAACATTTTACCTTATTAAGGTCATTCATATATTCATACATTCATGCATTCATGCATTCATACATTCATACATTCATACATTCATACATTCATACAGTCATACATTCATACATTCATACAGTCATAACATTCATACATTCATACATTCATACATTCATACATTCATACATTCATACATTCATACCATTCATACATCATTATACATTCATACAATTCATACATTCATACATTCATACATTCATACATTCATACATTCATACATTCATACATTCATACATTCATACATTCATACATTCATACATTCATACATTCATACATTCATACATTCATACATTCATACATTCATACTTCATACATTCATACATTCATACATTCATACATTCATACATTCATACATTCATACATTCATACATTCATACATTCCATACATTCATACATTCATACATTCATACATTCATACATTCATACATTCATACATTCATACATTCATACATTCATACATTCATACATTCATACATTCATACATTCATACATTCATACATTCATACATTCATACATTCATACATTCATACATTCATACTTCATACATTCATACATTCATACATTCATACATTCATACATTCATACATTCATACATTCATACATTCATACATTCATACATTCATACATTCATACATTCATACATTCATACATTCATACATTCATACATTCATACATTCATACATTCATACATTCATACATTCATACATTCATACATTCATACATTCATACATTCATACATTCATACATTCATACATTCATACATTCATACATTCATACATTCATACATTCATAAATATAGGTGGAAGTCATGAGAATCGCACAGAAGAGACATATTTATTTTTTTATTGATAATGTAAGTAAGGTTAAGTAAGATTATACTGATTATTTAGTCAAGTTTTCTATTCTTTCACTTAGGTGCTTTGTTATGGAGTTTCAATTTCTTAAGAATTATTTATTATGATTGAAGAAGGTTAAGAATAGCCCAGATTCAATTTTGATTTTATTTCGAATGAAAATTCAATTGTTCCAGTAATTCTTCAGCAGTTTAGCGCGATTCTTGTTTTATTCAATCATCAGCTGTGGAAATGCGTGGAAATGCAGCAACAGCTGTCTCTGTGGTCATCAAGGAACTGCGCATGTCCTGAGTCCTGTTGTTTTTTCTGCTAAGCACAGAGAGAGACACTTGGCTGTTTTGACAGTTGACATAACGAACTAGTCGAAAATATAGCGAAAGCGTGCGAAACTACTAAGATCTTTGTAAAAGCCAAGTGTAAAAGGTTTCGGCTCTTCTGAGGTCTAGTTAAGTGTACAAAGTGCTATCCAAAATGTATTAAAAAGGTGAAAGATGAAAAACTTCAAGGCAAAGGCCAGAGCTTGGTTACAATGAAGTATTGGATTGTGGACACATTGTTTCAGCTCAGGTCAAAGGGGTCTTTTGCTACTTTCATACGCTTTAGCTTCGGCAGGAAAACGCACAGAAAACGTGAAAATTCGCTTGAATTTCACTGTGTTAAGCTTAAAACACAATTCAGGAAAAGCGCTGCACAAATTTTTATTGATTTTTCCTGTTTGATTGGCCAACAAGGAAAGCTGCCAGGCAGCGGCGCTTACGCTCTCACGCTCTTTTCCTTCCCTCTCTCTGTCTCTCTCTCTTGCTCTCTTGCTCTCTGATTCGTTGACATTTACACCTTTTGCGTTTTGTTTTGCTACGAGTGTTCATTGCTAATCAGCATGTTGAATTGGTTTGCCTTTTCAGTTGCCACAAAGTAAAAAAGAACAAGCTATGCCAAATACTTAAAGTCAAGAGTTAACCCATACGCCAAGCCAACCCAGCTCAAGCAAGCTTCCACAAGTGTCCAAAAACTAACCACGTACCCACTCACCCACCACCCACCTGCACTCCGCCATGTTAGGCAGCAGGAGCCCCCCAATATACAAGCCGCTCGCATCGGGATCGGGGGGCTCCGCCAGCGCCAACAATCTCAGCTCTAATTCCAAATCGAGCAGCCACAGCTCCCTGAGCGGCCATCCCTATCAGCAGGCCTACACTGGTCACTCCCACGCCTGTTACCACCATCAGCAGCAGCATCAGCATCATCACCAGCATCAGCATCACAGTCAAGGAAGTCGCACGTCACTAACCCCAACGATGAAGCGTGGCAAGAAAAACTGGGGCAGTCGAGAGCGATCCAGCATGAGTTTTCTGATTGTCATCCTCTTTTTTGCTGTCTTTGGCCTCATCATATTGACCGAGGTAAGTCCATATTCAAGTTGATATATCCTGTTTATTGCTTATTATATGTATTCATAAAATGTTGATTCATTTAATCGACGTTGCGTTTAGGCTCCATGGGTTTCCAAGGGGCTTACTATGGGAAATGAATTGTTGTAAAAATTGTTGTCTAAGATTGACTTTCATAATTATAATTTGAAAACGTTACAATGATGAACAGATGTGTGTATTTCCGCTACTCTTAGAAATATATGGAAAAAGAGGAAAATCTGAAATGTTCATAGTCTGTCTGTTCATCATAGGAACTTAAGCAGTTATCATTTTTTTTGCTATCAATATCTATAATGTATGGAATATACATTTAAAATTTTAAATTCTTCCTTTTCTGGATGCGAGATCATTAAACGATCCTGTTATGATTGTTATATACATTTTCTCAAAACCAATATACGCTGAATTTCCATTTCCATCGATGCAGATCCCTATCAAGAAGATATATACATTAACAAATCCAAAGAGTATATCAGCTCAGTATTTAATATATTTATTATATGTATCCATCAAAATTTCAGATAAACCTTTTTATTTCAACTTCTCCATTGATTAATTATTAATTATATCAGGTAAAAAGCTGAATTTATCAGCTTGATCACAAATAGACTTTCATATATAATTTCCATCTTCTGTAAGAGTCTATTTATTTTTATATATTAATTTTATGCACAGCCCGTGCTGCTGTTGGGCTGTGGTCGAGTGCAATGCAGTCAGTTGCTCCGACTTCTTGCTCAACTCTTGAGTCTAAGCTATAATAATATAATAATATATAGGCTTCACGTTCACTACGAACTGCAAGCAGTGCTTTAGATAAGAATCACAAATCTAAAATCGACAACAAAACTCAGAGCTATGCTTTGCATGTGTCAGAGATAGTCAACGATCGCAATCAGCAAATATTATTTATAAATATAGAAAAGTAGCAAAATCTATGTATACATGATATATTGATAAACTTTAAATCTATGCTAAAGATATGTGTAAGAGTTAGTGATTAAAATAAAAATTAATTAATTAAATATTGATTACATTGAAAACTGTGATCTCTGTATAGCAGATGGGCATGTATGTAACATACATATGTTTCATGTTAGTGAGTGAGATCTTAAAACTAAATAAAAGAAAAATTAGGATAAAGTAAAAGTTTAGCTTTATCTTATAGATCTAGTTTTTTTTTTTTTTTTTTAAGTAAGTTACTCATTTAAACTCATGTAGTGATCACTGAAAGATGCGATTGTATGTCAACTCAACTGGCCAGTAGTGTAATCCAAATCAATATAAATGTCTTGATTCGAACTGAGGAAGGAATAATACAGTTTACGATTCGAAGCTGAACAATTCAAATTATTATAATTATAATTATTATAAATTAAAATGAAACAAGCATTTTCAATTTTAAAGTATATGGAGCAGTACCACATACCTATGCAAAAGTATTTATTATCTATTCATTCAGTTCTCCCATAGGCTCTTCTGAATGATATATGCCAAACGGTAAATCTTTTGGGACTTTCGGTCCCAATTCTAATTGCTGTGTCCAACAAACTTCAAAGTCGAAACTATAATATAAAATAGAGAATTGAAAATTTGTCTTATTGATAAATTGAAAATTTTCTATAGTTAACAAGAATTAAGACTTAATTTCATCAAATAAAAAATATAAAATTTAGTATCTCAAATTAAGTTCTATGATTCTTACGATATTTCTTCTTGTATCTCTTTAAATAAGTTGGGCTTGACTCGAAGAGATAATAAATCCAATACTGATCACTATGATTCTCATAATCTTTTCAATAACCATCGCCATAAATCTTATTATAATCGAACACAAAGTTATTTTACACATTTACTATGTCTAGTATATATTTGCATTGCACTTAAAGTCCATTTTCAAGGAAATTTATAAGCCAATTCACAGGCTCATAAAATATGCATTAAGCAATTACAACATTGTGTTGGATCGGAGCACCTTGCTCCGGTGCGGCTGCATTGCGGACGCATTTAAAATTCAGCGTGCAATTAATGACGCGACCAGACGTTAATTAAAATGCCAAAAGCGTAGCTAGAAATTAGCTTAAAATGAAGCCAGCCATCATAAATTTATCCAGCCAAGCCGCCCACAAATAGCACTGACTGTTTTCTTTGTGTCTTTCGCGGTGCAGGTTTTCATGATCGACGAGCGCTCCCACAGCGGGCTGATGGCCATGAGGGCGGGTGGCGGGGGCGGAGCCAGCCTGGGCGGCCGCTTGGGCGATGCGATGCCGGATTATGATAATGTTAAGGTAAGTTTTGTTATGCAAATCTATGTGGCGCTGGCAGCCAAATGGTCAACAATTGTTTTTGATGCTGCTCCACCTGCTGGGGCGATACGGGCGTGACAGCTTAACTATTGCGCCCATTTTTATGGTCCCCAACTTATGGCGGGCCGTGGGAAAACAAAAGATGTTGCCATTCACCATTCGCCATTCGCCATTCGCCATATTTCGTTGCATACTTTGCGGCTTGCGGCTTACGGGAGGCAAAGAGATTTGCATATTTAAGCAAGCAGCATAGCGCATAATGCATATGATTTACTTATCTCTTCTCTTCTTTTCTGTTTGCTTCTTTTCTGCAAACAAAAGCTGATTTATTTGCCACGCTGCGCCCTGCAATGCACTTTTGAAACCACAAGAGCAGCATAGCCCCCAAGCTGACAGCTCTCATATCTAGTGGGTTTCGTGGCCAACTCTTTTGTGTTCCTTTGCTAACACCTCCAAAATCTCTGACTGGGTGACCTGTATCATAAAAACAAGTGAATTAAATTTTATAAAATCCTTTCATTCACATCACAGAGTGAAATCAAGCTAAACTAAATAATTGAAATGGTCAGCAGTTGGTATTATTTGGGCTAAGCTCAGGCCGTTTTCCTTATTCTGAATTGCACTTATTAAATTGCATTTTTGATTTACTATCAAATTGTGTTTGCAGGATGACTACGATCTGGACGACAGCATTCTGAGTGATAGTAAATTAGGTTTTATACAGTTCCGTGACAATAAACTTAAAATTCAAGGTGAGTGGTAAATGGCAATCGGCGACACACAATGGCAAGCGAAATGTAATCAACGACAGCTATGTGTGTGTCTGAGATAACAAAAGCCATCCAATACTGAGATGGAGCTCATAGATTTGAACATTTCACAGAAGCCGCAGGCGCCGATGGTCAGCGTCCACGGTATGCGGGCATGCTGCTCAATGGCGCTGCTGGAGCTGGGGGCGGCGTTGGCGAGGGAAACGGCGCTGGCGCCTTTGGCGTGGGTGTTGCTGGCGCCAGTAACGGGCTGAACATGCCACTGATACCATGGGGCCAACTGCTGCCCGCCCAGGTGGAGGAGACCCTGCCACATTTCCCATTTGGCACGGCGCCCAACGACGGCGCCTGGCAGGTTGTCAATGGCACCCGCTTCAAGTTCTTTGTCTATTCCGCCTACTTCGATCGACGCGATGGAGCACGCCTTGTGCGCGTTATTGGCGCGACTAAAACACGTGGACCAGAGCGCGTCTGGTGCAGATTCTGGTATGGCCCAACGACTCACAACAGCAGCGAAACCTCCTCCTCAGCAGCACGTGCCAAATACACCTCGGCCACGGTAATGGCTCGCGTTAAGGTGAGTTAAGCCAACATCGCGGACACATTTAATTAGCCTAGGCTTGTCTATATCCTCCCAGTCTCATAATGACTTAAGGAACTAAGCTATTTGAACATGGATTGGGTGGTTCCATTGAAATTTAATTATGGTCTCCAGCGAATGTATATCCTAGGCAAAAGGAAATATCTTTGGCTTGGTTTTTTAACTTGAAAGCTATGAAAGCTATGAGAGCTAAAAAGTCTTATTTTATATATAATTAAAAGCCATTGAACCTCCCACATTTGCAGGATTAAAAAATAAATGATTTTTCTTCTGATCCGATGCTAAAGTTAGTATACTTTGCATATCGCACTTCATTATTAAAGTCCTTTAGATAAATATACAACTCGTGTTGCTTGGAGCTCGTCAAAAAGTAGATCTTATCGAGACCCAAGAAGAATTCGTTGGTCAGTGTACCAAAGCCTGATCTGTAGTCGCTCATAGTCCGGTTAAAGTTTTCAGAGCCATCTTGACGACGTTGAATAAATGTCCAGCCGGAATCGGCCAGACTCGAATCGCAGGAAACCTCAATGGGCTTGGAGCAAGTAACTTGTATTTTGAATATACCTGTTCCTCTACCTCTGCAGCTTGTCATAATATCATCCTTGGCTTCTACATTGCCCTCAAGTTGTTTAATTTTAGCAGCATATTCAATATTTCGAGACTTAAGACTCAGTATTTCGGCATCTTTTTTCCTGAGCTCTGCATTTAGATCTTCGGCATGCATATTTTGGGTGACTGTTTCATGTGTCAGTTCCTTAATTTTCTTTTCAAGCCTTTTATCATCACATTTCCGTCGTCTTTTGCATCTATGTTCTTCAACTCTTTAATCAGTCGCTCTATATTATCATTTTTGGTAACTATGGCATTTTCTATCTTATCGAACAGTTCGTCTTTAGTCAAGCAGAAATGTTGCTGTGACTTGCTTAGTTGGAGTTGATGACCAATGGCTTTCGGAAGATATACATTTGAATTGATCTGACAGATTAAAATGGATGGTGAAATGAATTCGTATGAAGCGCATGTTCAATTAGAAAGCGTTAAAATCTCAATTCCGGCAATTTCTTACGCCGATTGTGGAACGAATATTCTGCTATAATCAGCGACATTAGCCAATCAAAATTATTGACAATTATGAAAACATATAAGTCCTTAAATGGACACTTAATAAATTTATGTATTATATTCCCTACAAATAGGTATTTGGGCTCATGAATGTTTTTTCCGCTTAGCTCTGTATTTAAATATTGATTTAGTATATTAATGGTTGTTCATGCATAGGAATATTATTTATATGTTATTTAATTTGAAGTCTATTGAAGTATATTATGCTGTGTTTTCTTGTTAGATTATTCGTGAGAACTGGAATCTGAAGTACAGCGCGTGTTTCGTGCTGTGCCCGGTGCGTGTTCCATTGTTGGAGGTGCCACAGTTTGTGAGCGTGGTTTCCAGATTGCGAGCGCCGCCTGGCAACTTGATAACGTTGCGCAACACGGATCAAGACATGGACTTTGCACAGCAGTCGGCACCGCCAGCGCAGGGCAATGTTAATGCCACGGGGCGCAGTGGAGCCACTCGTCGACCCATGGCGCAGGCACCGCCCAGCGGCGAGCAGATACCTGACAGGATGGCCGTATGTGTGAAGCCGTTTCACTTTAGCTACGATCAGGCGTTGTATCTGATGGAGTATCTGGAGTTCTATGCTCTATTGGGCGTCTCGCACTTCACCTTCTACAATCATACACTTGGTCCGCACGCCTCCTGCGTGCTGCAGAGCTATCAACGAGGGCAGGTGCCTGGCAACCTGACGGCCTTTGACTGGGAGCCTCTGCAGCCCGCCGAGGCAGCGACCAATGCAACTCCTCGAGTGCTCAAGTCGCTACACTACCAGCGACCTACGGTCAGCATTTTGCCCTGGAACCTACGCATGCGCTCCCAGAAGGAGATACGCACTGAAGGTCTATTTGCGGCCCTAAACGATTGCCTCTACCGGACAATGTATCGCTACAAGTATCTGGCGCTGGTCGATCTGGATGAGTTCATCGTGCCGCGATACACGGACACGCTCAACGACTTGTTAAGGTGAGTGGAACCACGCCCAGCCCAAACGCATTATTCACTTACTTCTTCGACAGATCACTCAACCAGCGTTTTCGCAATCGCAATACTGGAGCCTATTCATTCCAGAACGCCTTCTACTATCTGCAGTTCGCAGACGATCCGCTCGCCAGTTCCGGAATTTCAGGCGGCAGCGATCAGCTGGGCAGCGTGCGTGCCTCTTTGGTAACGCAGCGCAAGACGCGCAGGTGAATAAGCTGTGCCTGAATCTCCAGATAGTCGAGCTAACTTTAATCCATTCAAACAGGCGCTACAAGTTGCATCCGCAGAAGCAACGCTCCAAATATATTTGCAAGCCCGAAGCTGTGGTCGAGGCAGGAAATCATTTTGTCTGGGAATTCTCGCCGGGCATGGGATCACTTAATGTTCCACCAAAGGATGCCATATTGCAGCACTATCGGGTGAGTTAAGCTCTGTTTTTAGTAAACAAAATAATCTAACTTCAATTGATTAACAATATTTTTACTAGAAAATAAACAGCAATTAAAAAAAAAAAAAAAAAATTGAAATTTATTTTTTTTCTTTTAAATTTCTGCGTTAGTTTATTTATTGACTAGGAATAATAAAACCAATTTCTAAGTTGTACTTAAGATTAGTATGTCTTGGCATGGAAAATCTGAGATTTGATGTTCATGCAGCAGTTAATCAATTTTAACAACTTGAGCAGATAAAAGTTTATAGTATTCTATATTAATTAACTATACACTATACACACTTCTTATTGGCTTTGTGGCAGGTCTGTGAATTTGGAGGCAACGACTGCATTAAGGCACCTTCCATACTGGATCGCACCACCACCAAGTACGTGAACCGCCTGGTGCAGCGCGTGGATGCTGTCTATCGGCATTTGAGACAGCGTTGCGATCTGCCCGCGCTGCCAACGCTGGCCAAACGAACGAATGCCCAGGCGGAGCAACAGCACAACGAGAAGCCCAAGTTACTACAGCAGATGCGCGAATTGAATGCACAGCAGCACCAGAAGGAGCAAAATGATCACAAGGATCAGAATGCGCCGCTCAAGACAGCAACGAGTGCCACAACGAAGCAACAGCAACAGCAGCAGGTAAGGAAACCGATGACGACAACGAGAGCCCAAATTAAGGGCAACAGCAGAGCACAGAATCCACTGAGAGCAACGACCACTGCGACCCCCAGGACAACAGCAAAGGATCAAGTCAAGCAGCAGCTGCTGCCGCCGGCGAATGTGCGCAAGAAACGCAAGCTGATCGTCTTTGAATTGGATGACATGGGAATACCCATAGCACGAGTCGAATACCACTGAGAAATGGTTTTAGTTGGCGAAATAGTCGCCTAGACGCTGGCCTCTTCTTGCATCTGTGCCAATTAAGTTAGTTGAAGTTTTATCAGTGAATAAAGCAGAGCTTGATTATTTTGAATAGGTTTTAGTGTTTGGGTTGTGCTTCAGCTCGGTTGTTCCAATACATTTTGCTCAGTGTCATATCAGGAAACGAAAAACTAAAAACGAAAAACGAAAACAGTCAAAAAGAGAAAGAGAGACAGAGAGAGAGATTCTCTCTTACGTCCCTCTAAATTCTCATGACATTTTAATCTTATTTATATATTTAACATTAACATTTACGAATAACATTGGAAAGTTATTTTGGTCATCCTACAAATATCTCAATATGGTATGCATAACGAAATTATTCCTATTCAAAATTTGAACAAAATTCCTAAGGATAAAGTCAAACTGTTAGCGTAAGTTTAGTGTAAGCGCCCAAAATTAAAAGTACTGTTAGTTATACGTATTAAATATATTCTGATTTACCAATTGCATCAGTATTTGCCGATCCTCAAGCCAAGCACCAAGAACAACTGATAGAAACTACACCTAGCTAGTCCTCTTGCTCGGTCTACGGACCGGAGACACTATTTAATTGAATAATCAACAGAACGAAACGAATTTTAAAATGCTTCAAAGTATCGCACGTATATTTTTTTTGCCTTGATCTGCGTAAATCCAGCAGCAAAAGTAAGATGCATCTATTAGATATATATACCGATATTTATACAAAGTATCTAGTCGTAATGCTCAGTAGTTGATAAGCAATAAAACTCGACCGATTATATGGGAGGTGTTTTCCAATGAATAACAGTCAATAAAATTGTGTGCAAAAAACAACAATGAAAATTGTTTAAATATATATTTTTAATGGAGATTCGGTTGGTACTTTTGCTTTTTTACCCCTCATTTTGTATAGTGCGACAGACTTATAACTAGAAAGTTGTATGACTAAGGCTCTTATAAATGTCTTATACAGAGCATTTCATATTGACTGAAGCCAAAAAGCGAAATACACATGTATTTACAGATTATGGCTAATATAACAATATGTATCTGTATGCTTACATCCCTATATCCCTGAAATTCTCTGTTTATTCGTATAACAAAATGTTCCCAATTTAGTATTTCATACAATATTGCAGATTTTGCGTGTATTTCATTTGTGTGCTCATATAACAGTTTGAAACATACATTTTAGCTAAATATACCAAAAGTTAAAGCTTGTTTCATAATATAATCCCATATAATATGCTATAGAAGTTTTTTAAGCTTTCAAATTGCTTTGGAAGTTCGAATAAAAGCTTGAAACATTATGACATTACAGAGTTTGGGTACTAAAGCTTCCATATTAAAATGCTACAGCATGCTTTTCTTGTGCAATATGACAGTTTCTGGCATAATAGCCCTGCTACAGCTGAAATAACGGCTTTATTCATATGCTAGTAGCACAAATTTGTCATTTGGCGAAAGCTTTGAAAGCTTGTATAAGACAACCATAAAAGTGAAATTTATAGTAAAATACGATAGAAATACCACTTTGCACGGTAAGCAAAGTAACTCATGAATGGGGAAAAGGGAAATCACTCAGAAGGTAGGGGAAATTGTAGGAGCAGAAATGATGAACAATGAAAAATTATATGGATTGTTGCATTTGTATTAATTAATAGTTAGATTAGATATAAACTGAGCAGCAGGAGCTGTACACACACACATACACATACACACACATATATATATATATAAATATTGCATAACTACAGTTCTTTGTAGATATATGTTTTTTGCAAGAGATATAATTGCATCACTTAGCTCTGCTCAAATATTTGCAAACGTGCGCAGCACGCAAATATTTAATCAGTTGTTAGGAGCTGTATTAAGTTACAGCAATTGAAAACAATAAAATCAATTAAGTAATTAAAGATAGCTGTAAATCGAGTGGCTGCTTGTCTATATATCTTATAAATATATCATTACATACTCTATTAAATAAATTTGACTTTTATCTTAGCATGGGTTCAAGAGGAACGATGTGCTTAAATCCCACTCAAAACCACAGTCACTTTATCAAGTTCAATGTTTACTTGGATTTGGTGTAGTTAAAAGCTGATAGCCATATATGTATATATATATATAGAAAAAGAGAGTTGGAAGAAATGACTCAAAAGTTCGTATTTTGTATTTTGTAAATAGATAATTTTTTCTTTAAGGCAATTTTCATTGCTACAACTCCAAATAAGATGAATGTCAAATAGATAGACTTTGTACTGATATTGAAAATATCGGACATAGCGTAAGCCAATTTTTAAATTTATTTTTAATAATGTTCGCCTTTTTTCGATTTGAATCGAACTTTTTTGCTCATAATACTATTCTCAATTATTTGTCGTAATCTAAAGCTTTTCCTGTAATTAAATAAATGCTAATTTGATGTATCAACGTATTAATAAAATGGCCAAGCTTCAACCAGACTTGGATTTAAGCGGTCTCCTCGTCTCGCAATTTGATTCGAAACCCAAGAATTTGCAATCTATAGTCCATAGAGGAAGCGGGTTACGATAAAAAAGGCTGTAAAAAAGGATATACCGGAAATGTAACAGGAAGCAAAATGACTTAATGCGTTGCAATTGCCATAGCAATGGTCAGTCATGGCGACGGGCACGGGAACTGCTGTGGGAAAGGTGTGGGGCTAACGTTCCGGTTACGGAACACCGATGCACTTAAGCAGGCGGCGCACGTGGTGCTTGGGTCAGCGGAAAATGGCGAATGGCGATTGGCGACTGGCGAATGGCAAAGCGGCAAACGGTGAATGGCTTCATAATTGCAATGGAAACGAAATGGAAATGGAGATGGAAATGAATGGCTGCCACATGGGTCGAGCGGACCGCACAGAAACTGCGACGTTGCATTCGTAGAGTAATCGACTGATTTTTGCATTGAGCTAAGATTTTTATTATGCTGCTTTTAATGGCCCACCACCAGGATTATTATGCTACAATATTTTGAATCAGGAATTTCCCTTAGGTCTAATTACGTTGCGGTTTAGTCGGATTCCGATGCGCTGCTACTGGAGTCTGGAGTCGATGTACTGCTATCGGATTGGGCTGTTGTTGTTGTTGTTGATGCGATCGGATTGACTTTAATGATAATATCAATATCTTTTATGCTGTTGGCCTTTTTCTTGTCTAACTCCGTCAGAACGGTGTCAATGTCGCTTTTAGCATATGTTCCTGCTTTGACCAGGAGTTTGCTCTTCCTTGAGACAGTCTGGAGATCATTTTGAGCGTTGTTGAGCTTCACTTCGATACGGTTTATATTGCTTGTACAGCGGCCTTTGCTTATGGAGCCTGCCACACATTGGTTCATTGTATCAATCAGAGACCTAGCGTCTCTGGTGTAGCCATAAATTTTATCTTCTATTTCCTTCTCGAACTGACTCTTTTGTTGCTCGAAGTTTTGCTGAGTGCGCTGAAGATTTCCTGTAGAGCGTTCGATAAGCAGCTTAATGACATTGTTAGCCTGGCGCACGCCAACTGCATTGCTTTGACTCTTTACTAGCTCCAGTTGCGTGTCTCCCCATGTCGACAGCTCAGTTAGAGTGGTGGTAACCGTCTGGCTGAGATCGGGAAGGTTACTGTTTATTTCGGCAAGTGCAGTTTCGAGCTCGACAACAGTTGAGCTCAGTTCCTTTAACGCTGCCAGCCCAGTGCTCAGTGCGGCAATGGGATTCTCAAGCTTTTCTATTTCTCCTTCGAGAGCTGTAATGTTGCCAAGTAAGTTTTCTCCCGATTCGGCTAAGCCACTGGTCAATGTCTCAGATAATACACTTGAGGATGTCGATGACGATGGCGATTCGGTTTCAGTGTCTCGTCTTGTCCTCCACAGTTTCCCGGCAAGACTCTTGCCTCCTTCAATCAGCTTGGAGCCTATGTCGCTAAAGAAAGAGGGTTCATCTGATGAACTCTCGTCCAAAGGCCTTTCACTGGAGTCCGATAATGAGTCTTCGTCGGGTTCTGGTAAGTTGTCGTCTATAATTTCATCAAAGTCCCTTTCACATTCAATCATATCCTTAGCCAACTGCTTAAACACAGATGCAAGTGCTTTACTAGCATACAAATTAGCTCCGACCAGCGCTTGGCTCTTCCTCAGCAGTGTTTCCAGATCGTTATTGGCAATATTTACCTTTGCTATCAAATCGTTTAATTTGACTGCACACCGGACGGTGCCTATGGGCCCTGACAGACATTGATTCATACTGTCAGTCAGTGCTTGAGCAACATTTTTATAGTTCGTTGCTTTTTCCAGAAGCTGTTGTTCAAGCTGACTCTTCTGGACCTCCAGATCACGCAGGGCATCAAGCAGATTCTGGGTGGATTGTTCAAGAAGCTGCTGAATGATATTAGCCGCCTGTGGAAGACCTGCGCCTGCGGTTTTATTGTTTACCCTTTGCAGTTGCTCATCTCCCCACTCCAATAATCCGTTTAGCGTGTTATTAACCTTATCGCTCAGATCATCGGCAAGTTTACTACCTACATCGAGGAGTGTAGACTTCAGTGTCAACGCTGATGAATTAAGTTCCTTCAGCGCAGTCAATCCCTTTCTTAGTGCATTTCTTTTCAGTGGATTCTTTTCGCCTTTAATCTTGCCTTCAAGATCTGTTATACTGGGTAGAAGGTTGTCCGTTAAAGCGTCCAATTGACTGATTAGTGCGTCGGAGATTGCGGCTGAGAGCTCCTTTCCTAACTGGGTAATATCAGCCAAGAACTGGCCCTTCGAATTGTGTAGATCTTCCAGTATGTCTTTGCCAAGAGCAGCACCGTCTCTCGTTGCATTCAATAGATTCTCGAAGAGACTTTTGCTGCTTTCACTCAGCTTGGATAATAAATCGGCAAAGATTGACGATTCCTCGGATGAGTTGCCGGATTCGCCATTGGATTCTCCATCGGATGCTGAGGATGATTGACCGTCTGATTCTGTGGATGCTTCCTCGGATTTTTCGTTAGAAGTCTCACCATCAGATTCCGATGATGATTGATCGTTGGATTCCGTTGATGCATCGTTGAGTTCAGATGATTCTCCATCGGATGACGCCTCTTCGGATGCTGATGACGATTCAGCTGTTGATTCTGTTGATGGCTCTTCGGTTCCAGATAATTCTCCGTTAGACGTTGCCTCGTCGGATGCCGATGTGGATTCATCATTTGCTTCTGTTGATGGTTCTTCGGATTCGGATGATCCTTCTTCGGGTGAAGCTCCATCGGAAGCTCCATCAGATGTTGTTTCATCGGAAGACGATGGTGATTCATTGTCTGATTCAGTTGCTGCTCCATTGGAGCTTGTAGATAGTTCATCTGCCTCGGAGGATGTTTCATCAGATCCTGTTGCTGTTTCGTCAAGTTCGGATGAGCCTTCATTGGATGTCGTTCTAGCATTTGTGGTTGCGGCTTCAGTTGTGCTTGGTCTGTTGTCAATTATGTCATTTAAGTCCTTTTCAGATCTGAGCTTTTCCTTAGCCAACTGCTTCAGCAGAGATGCAATTCTTTTACTCGCATATAATCCTGTCTTGACAAGCGCTTTGCTGTTCCTCAATAGAGTTTCCAGCTCGTCCTTGGTAATGTTTAACTTTCCTACTAATTCGTATACTTGTAATACACACTTGGCGCCGCTGATAGGCCCTTCCAGACATTCATTCATTTTAATAATCAGCGCCTTAGTGTCGCCTGCATAATACCTTATTTTTTCCAGGAACTCTTGCACAAGCTGACTCTTCTGGAGCTCCAGATCACGCAGGGCACCAAGCAGATTCTGGGTGGATTGTTCAAGAAGCTGCTGAATGATAGTAGCCGCCTGTTGAAGACCTGCGCCTGCGGTTTTATTGTTTACCCTTTGCAGTTGCTCATCTCCCCACTCCAATAATCCATTTAGCGTGTTATTAACCTTATCGCTCAGATCATCGGCAAGTTTACTGCCTACATCGAGGAGTGTGGACTTCAACTTGAACGCTGACGAATTAAGTTCCTTCAGCGCTGCCAATCCCGTTCTTAATGCTTTTCTCTTCCGGGAATTCCTTTCGCCTTCAATCTTGCCTTCAAGATCTGTAATACTGTCTAAAAGGTTGTCCGTTAAAGAGTTCAATTGACTGAGTAGTGCGTCGGAGATTGCGGCTGAGAGCTCCTTTCCTAACTGAGTAACATCAGCCAAGAACTGGCCCTTCGAATTGTGTAGATCTTCCAGTATGTCTTTGCCAACAGCAGCACCGTCTCTCGTTGCATTCAAAAGGTTCTCGAAGAGACTTTTGCTGCTTTCACTCAGCTTGGATAATAAATCGGCAAAGATTGAGGAGTCATCTGATTCTCCATTTGGTGCTGAGGATGATTGATCATCTGATTCTGATGATACGTCATTGGGTGCAGACGATATACCATTATCTTCTGTTGTGCTTGCATTGGGGCTAACTATGTCTTCCAGATCTTTTTCGCATTTGAGCTTATTTTCGGCCAATTTCTTGAAGAGCGATAAAACGGAGTCCGTAGCTTTCACTCCGGCCTCGATCAAATCCTTGCCTGCCTTAAGCAGACGTTCAAGCTCATCATGTGCGTCCCGCAGATTCTCGATCGATTCCTCAATGAGTGACTTGCAACGAAAGCTGCTGAGACGGTTGCAGCTGTGCATGGCTTCAACAAGTTCCTTGACGTAGTCGCTGTATTCACTGATCTTATCGTTCAACTGCTGCTCAATCAGGGTCTTCCTAACCTCAAGCTCCTCTAGAACACTGATAAGGTTCTTGGAAGAGCTTGATATGAATTGTGTAATGACGTCTTTCGCTTGCTGCAGGCTAGCTCCATCGGTGCTCTGTTCCGCCCGGTCCAGTTGTTCCTTACTCCAGCTCAACAAATAGTCCAGAATTTCGCTTAATTGACTGTTAACTTTTTCACCGAGCTGCTGATTGATATTGGGCAGTGAGGACTCCAGATCCGTGGCTACTGAGTTGAGCTGCTCAAGTGCTGCTAGTCCACTGCTCAGCGCGGCTTTCTTTTTCGAGTTCTTCTCAGCAGCCACCTTAGCTGTGAGCTCCGCAATGCTGGTTGAGAGGGTTAGTGATAGGTCCTTAATTCCTGCCGTTAACGATTCTGATATTGCATTGGATAGATCTTCCCCTAATTCTGAGACATCGTTCAAGGGGTTTCCCTTGGCGCTGCCTAGCTGGTCCACAAGGTCGTTGCCAACGGTTGCGCCATCCTGTGTTGCATTCCTTAAGGCTTCGACAATACTTTTGCCTCCGTCCTCCAGATCGTTCCATATGTCATTGAAGATTTCTAAACTGAGCTTGCCCCAAGTGCCACTAGCGCCTAAGCACAGCGTCAGCAGTAGCAGAGTTCCCTTGATCGACTGCATCTCGTCAGCTGAGCTTCCAGTTCATCGTCGACTTTTCAATTTCCGCGCCTTTTATATCGAAAGCCGGACGGCAGAGCACGGATATTTGAGCACAGTATTTGCTTTCGTTTTACGATCAAATATTGAAGCAGCTGATACAAGCGACATATTAATATTTGCCAACTATTGTCCGGTTTGCCCACAGACTGTCAGCGCAATTATGCGGCGAGTGCGGAGGGCCAATAGGCATCCACATGCGGGCAAATGTTGCGTCAACAAAAAAAAAAAACAGTTAGGCATTTACATAATAAATCTGCAGGGCTGAGTGCGTGCAACAAAGTGAGAATGTGCCTGTCACAGACTATGCGAGTTCAACAACTGAATACACAGCAATTGTCTCATAAGTTGACAATGTATTTACTTGAGTTTCTATTTATTACTAGACTGATTAACCTACGACTCTAACCAGTCAAGTTTGACCTAACAAAACATGGCTCGCTTGCATTTCCCAGAATTGATTAAATTTATTTATTATTTATTTATGTTTGGCATATATTTATTATATTTTACTGTCATATTTAAATACATATTTGAGAGACATGAAGCCAGTGAATACATCATATAAAATTACTGTGTAATGTTCTACGATGATCCTCAAGCAGAAAGGCACAATGGTCTACTGTTTTTGACTTATTTTAGTCTGGTTTCCACTTCCTTGTTCATGCCTAGGCGACATATTATTTGTCCACTTTAAAGAACGAGTCTACAGCAATGAAACTGACATATGTTGGGGCTAAGGCTCCAAAGCTAATGGAGATGCAGCGTATATTCAATAATCAATAGACGAGGTCAACAGTAACTCAATTATCGCGCTCAACTTTCGAATATATCGATTATCGAATTATCGCATTAATATATCGGTTGCATTCGAAATTTCGAGTCTTTAGTATCAAAAGTTTTCAAAACCAAACACGCCCCTATAAGATCTAAACAGTAACTTACGAGCCATTGGGCGTGGGCCTATATCTATTTACTATATACTCACTTTAGTCTTGAGTTACCTACACGAGTGTGTAGTCCAAGCGTGCAGTATATGAACGAGTTAAAAGGTCAAAAAATAAAGTGCTTATCTGGACTTATGCAAAGCTGCTTTCGTTTAAGCTAGCTTATGATAGGACAGAGCGAAATTTTATCCAAAGAAAAAAACTCGAGGAAATTTGCTTGCATATCACATTCATTTGATATGTCATCGCATGATGCAAAGTTCATAATATGTGTTGCATGAATTGATTTAATTTGGCCAATTGAAGAATAAACTAAATGCGGGTCGCCCTCGCATGGGAAAGACAAAGGCTAAGGCAAAGACAAACTTTTCATTCATTTTGCAATTTAAGGCCCACAAGGGGCGACCCTTGCCTTACTTTGTGCATAAATAACTAAATCGGCATGCAAGGCATTCGAGAAATCCTTTATGCATACGGCTAGCGAGGCTCGTACTTGAAATAAAAGTTTGGCCATGCTCGACTGTCTAATGCCCTATTCAATTTGAAATATTTCATGCGAAATTTCAGCAGTTGCCCAGGTACTCGGCGGCATAGATAGGGGATAGTATTTAGTAGTAAATTTTTAATCAAGACTCAGTCTATATATCATATATATCACATATATCATATATATCTTATATCATATATATCATATATATCATGTATATCACATATATCATATATATCATGTATATCACATATATCATATATATCATATATATCATATATATCATGTATATCACATATATCATATATATCATGTATATCACATATATCATGTATATCATATATATCATATATATCATATATATCATATATATCACATATATCATATATATCATATATATCATGTATATCACATATATCATATATATCATATATATCATGTATATCACATATATCGCATATATCATATATGTCAAGTATATCATATATATATTATTTCAAAATAGATAAGTCGAATGATCTCTGAAGAGTTGTTGTTTCATATCCCAAGTTCGGAATCGCATTAAAAATTGTCCGTACTGTGGCTCTTCTTCTAAAAGAAATTAATTCATTCACATCATTCGAAGCTGAGACAAGATTCAAATTGTAAAACAAAGCTAATATACCCGTCTCACTAGCCTATAACTGCCATACGAAATTATACTGTGGTAGATGTCTCTGGTCTGTATTTATCAGGCCTTTGCTTGGTGCTTTTCAAGGTAGCCGTGGGCGACATACGGCATAAGCATTTTATTAGTCTGCTGTTTGTTTTGTTTAATTATGCTGTCATTAAGTTTGTCACACACACAGATGCACACACACACACACACACACACAGCTGAAAGGCAAGGACAACTGTTCAACAAAAGCTTACATGTCTAAACGCAATTATTGCCGAGTTGCGAACGAAGAGCAGCGGGCATCAGACAGCGGAACGTTGCGCAGGGACAATGCGCTCTGCATGTTTTAACTTATATACTTTTTATGTGGCTGGATGGCGGTGGGCAAGTGGGCGTGGCTGGCTAGCTATCCAGTCACTGTCCCGATCTGCGACAAGTCGCACGGAGTCCGTTGGCCACTCTCGGCCAGACATTTAATTTGCATTTTCCACTAATTGGCTTGCATACGCTACATTCTCGCTTCGCTTAATTAATTTAATTAGAAATATGTTTTGGCACAAAGAAAGACTCGCTCTGTGTGTGTTTTTGTGCGTGTGGATGTCCGCTGATAATTAGCAGAGTATTTGGTGGCTTATCAGTTTGTCCGCCCAAACTCTTTCGTTACATCGAGTGGGAAATCACAATACTCTAAGGACAATTAGGCTGCCCTTTTATTGGCAATAAAATATATATTTCTGATATATTTATTTAACTAGATCATTAGCTGAGTTTCAAGTTTTATTGGGTTTGTCTTGTAGTCAGTGACTGCTACAATTTTTACATCTGCAAGTTCGAATTCTGATTTGACCATTGAATAATTTAACATTATTTGATAACGCATTAGACTTTCTAGTCCACTGGCCTGATCATCATTTGAACATACTTAAGTGAGTCCAGTTTCCATGTATGCCATTCAATGCCCTGTTTTTGTTTACTTTCTGCCACTCTTCTGTATATTCCGTTTAGAAAGCTTCAAATTAAATATTAATTATTTTCTTTCAGTGATCTATTAAATACTTCATCTACTTGCCTGTAGCCACAGCCCTTAAACCACCATCCGGAGCCACAGCTCTGTGCGCAATGAATCTTAGTCAAGCTATCGTGGTCTTTGTCAGTCGTTGAGAATTGCATATTAAGATTTGATGCCATTGAATCGCCTGCAGTTCCAGAATAAACTCCCAACGATTTTAGTTCAAAGTTCTCCTCCTGTGCTCCGATGCTAAAGTTAGTATACTTTGCATATCGCACTTCATTATTAAAGTCCTTTAGATAAATATACAACTCGTGTTGCTTGGAGCTCGTCAAAAAGTAGATCTTATCGAGACCCAAGAAGAATTCGTTGGTCAGTGTACCAAAGCCTGATCTGTAGTCACTCATAGTCCGGTTAAAGTTTTCAGAGCCATCTTGACGACGTTGAATCACTGTCCAGCCGGAATCGGCCAGACTCGAATCGCAGGAAACCTCAAAGGGCTTGGAGCAAGTAACTTGTATTTTGAATATACCTGTTCCTCTACCTCTGCAGCTTGTCATAATATCATCCTTGGCTTCTACATTGCCCTCAAGTTGTTTAATTTTAGCAGCATATTCAATATTTCGAGACTTAAGACTCAGTATTTCGGCATCTTTTTTCCTGAGCTCTGCATTTAGATCTTCGGCATGCATATTTTGGGTGACTGTTTCATGTGTCAGTTCCTTAATTTTCTTTTCAAGCTCTTTTATCATCACATTTCCGTCGTCTTTTGCATCTATGTTCTTCAACTCTTTAATCAGTCGCTCTATATTATCATTTTTGGTAACTATTGCACTTTCTATTTTATCGAACAGTTCGTCTTTAGTCAAGCAGAAATGTTGCTGTGACTTGCTTAGTTGGAGTTGATCCTCTAACGACTTGATAGTCGCTTCGTGGTTTTGGTTTCTGCTCGTAAGTTCACCGAACTGACTCTCCTTCGACTGCACAGAGGCGGCATATTGCAGAAGGGGCTTAACTATCTTGTAGCAATAGCGGCTGCACTGTTCATCCATTTTTCTTGAGGCAGCGCAATGCTGAAATGTACACGAAGTGTGCCACAATTACAGATCACATTCACAATTTTCATTCAAGAGCTTTGCTTACACCGTTCTCGACTGTCTCACCTGATACCCCTGGCAGGGTTATCAAAAAGATTAGCAATAGCTTTCGCTTTAGGTACATTTGAAATGTTCAGACAGACGCTTGCAGTCCACACTCGAATGAAATAGCTTTTCAACTGAATTCAGCTGAAGCGATAATTAATTAGAAAGCATCAAAATCTCAATTTCAGCAATTTCTTATCAGAGACAGGCGATGGGCTTTCGAGTCTTCTTCTATCTTCTATTATCAGCTTTATAATATATATGCTACTCTATGTTGTTGTGAACAACAACTTTTATATACAGGTGTTATTGACTGTGTTATGTTCGCTAGCTTAAATGATTTATGCAAAGGGCAAACGAATGCCGTGTGAAAGTATTTTCATTTTACATTTCTTGTACTCTCGACTGCTCTTAGTCACAAGCAAATAATATACATATATTTAGTCTTAATCATTCTCTACTGATTATATATAAACTATATTATAGAAAACGAAACTAAGTGGTTATTTAATGGCTTAGAATTGCTTCTGCATAATTTTATATATTTTAGTGTTTGAATCAAATGCAGTTTTGAAGCAATAGCAAGAGAACAGCGATCTCCTTAGCTTGAGCAATAAGTATTTGTGATAGATTCTTCCCATATATGTGTCTAATTGGCCGTTGTTAATGGGCATTGTCTACCTGGATGGAACACCTCACCTGCGATATCCGCTGCAAACTAGTCGTCCACATTACTTCACTTCTTCCAAGCGATGCATTCGTGGCTCTTTGTAAGTGCACCTCAGCTTCGGCGCTCTGGTGTTGGGAATGCTTTTATGTAGTTTTCTGACCTCAGGTCCAGCAATGAATGGCCAGCCATTGAGGCAGGAGCCGGCAGCTGGGGTGATGATGCTGCCATCGCATGGCATGGCATGGCATGGCAATCGCGGCCATTAAGTCATTTTGTTTCCTGTAACATTTCCGGTATCTTTTTAGCAACCTCGTGCCGCTGGTGGGGCTGCTCCAATCTGCTGGCCTGGAGCTCTGTAAATGCTTTTAAAGTTGGTGGCTGCTTGTTCAATTTATTGCCTCGCCAAATGCACAGTTGCTGTTGTCGCTGGCCAGCCAAATGCAACTGCCTTTCAAATTGCTGCACATAAAGTGTTGCCCTGAAATTAACTTGCGCTCTTTATGCTCAGCACAGATAAAGTTGTGGCAGAACTTAACATTAATGATGGGCCTTCGCCATTTAACTGCTCCAAATAAATGTTCACGCAGATAACATTTGCAGGGCTTAAATTATAATTTTGTTTACTTTACAATCGGCTAACAATTAGCTCGAATTCAAAATAGAAGCTGATATTCAAGGGATTGACAATCAAATCATCAGAAGCAGAGTGGCGCAGTGGAAGCGTGCTGGGCCCATAACCCAGAGGTCCGAGGATCGAAACCTTGCTCTGCTATGAGGAATTCTATTTTTTATATTTTATTTTCAAATTCCTGCTTTTTAAAAATACAACATGAATAAATACTTAGCGACACTATCGCAAGAGCTATTTATTATCGTGAAATACATTTTCGTGGGCGGTTACTTTAGTGTCTCGTGTCCGAAGGATAGAGAGCAGTATCGGTCGGTGTTTCGATTATTGTTTTTGTGATGATTCACGCCCAGACGCCCCACGTATGCCTAACACAGAGCATAATGCGACCACGAACCACGATCTTGATGCTGCGCGAGATAGCTGATAGCTCGACAATAATTATGCAAATTTCATACAAATGTTCAGCATTTAATTTAATTCTGTGTTTCGGTCAAATTGTGTAACCCGCCTTAAAAGATAGTTGTGTTCAGTTGCTCATAACTGAATATCTGTAATATAATAAATATAACAGTTTCCATTCTGAGAGTTCATGTTATGTCAGTCTGTTCGTCTGCTTATTAATTTTGTGTTACATTATGATGTTGGTAATCTCACAAATGCTCATTCAATAGGCAACATTGTGCACCTGGCACACTTGAAGGTAGATAAAACTGTAATATATCAATATAAACTTATATTTCATGCGTGCATACACGTGCCATGATCGTAAAATCAGCGCAGTTTCGACTGAGAGTTGGCTTTCTGCACACTCAATCACTTAAGTGGAACTACAGCTGCAGCTGAGACCTGCTGGCATATACATTTCAGTGCAATGCCCATGTGGTATGTTTTTTGGTAGCTGTTGCTGCCATCAACACTAATTTAAAAGCCTTCGTAAAAATCAGAGTGAAGTGCGTGCAGAGATTGCAGTGGAACAGTTTTTCATGCACGCCTTTGTCTAAGTGAATTCAGCCAACAGTAAAAATATGTGTGCATTAGTTTGCATATGCCGGAAGGCAAGCCTAAGCTCGAGCCCAAGCTGAAGCCCCAGCCCCGGTCCAAATCCGAATCTAAAACCTATGCAGGGGGGCAGCAGCATTGCTCATACGCCGCGTTGGCCGAGGCGAGTGCATTCTGTGGCCCCCCTGGCGCACATGAGGCAGATTTAGTGTGCCAGGTTTTTATCTTGTCGCGATGCTATGTGCCGTTTTGGTCGCTCTGGGGATCAAGCAGCAACAGCAGCAGCAGCAGGTACCAATGGCAGCAACATTTGTTCATATGAAAATGCCTGACGCGCTTTACCTTTGCCACACAGCTCTTCTAACTGTATTGCCTGGCAATCCCATCTACAACTACCTACACTCCGGCTGCTAAATGTGTAACGGCAGTCACTTAGCGCACTCCTTCGTGCCCTTTAGCCACCGCTCCATGCGGTCGTTACTTCATTGGCACAATCCCCAGACTCTGGCTGCTTGGCTGCACCACAGTCGAGTTCGCCGTGTGTTTGGTTGCTTTCATTGTTTTGCTGTGCTTTTATATATATTTTATTTTTGTTGCCTTTTTATTTTTTCGCCACGTATTTCCCTTTAATGCGCTGCGGATTTGCTGTGAAATATGCCAGCACCGAGACCCAAACATACGAGCCGAAACGAATGTTTGTGTGTGAGTGTAAAGTGTGTGCCCCTATCTGGGCACAATCCCGGTTGGCACTGCGGCCCAGCACTTTTATGGTAATTAAGTTTATGCTAATTTAACTTATTGCCACTAAGTTGGCCCACATATGCGGCCAGCCGCAAATGCTGAAGTCGTATTCTCGCATTCGAAATGGCAATCCGAATATACAGCACGTGCCGCCATCTAGCGGCTGGCATTGAAAATGCATTAAAATGCAGCACTAAATTGAATCGTCGGCCATTAAATCCAAAGTAATTTATTTAATTAAAGTCAACACTCTATGGCAAAACAAAAGTTATCAGCGTCGATAACACTCTGCTGCAGCCCAACTATTTCGGTCGGGTTTAACTGAGTGCATAATACTCTGTCAAGGGCCGAATTTTTAATATAGAGCTCTATTAGATGAGCTCTAAGAAGGGGTCCATAGTAACTGAGCTGTTAATAATTGAGGCTGTCAAGCGAATGATATATGACATTCTTTGAAGTGTCTCTATATATAAATATATATTTATTTATATATGTATATATAAATTTGATATACGAAATGTCTAAATTCAATAGGTTGATTAGGTTACGATAATTATATTATAATGGGCGTGTCAACAACATTTTCACACTTTCTAAATTGAGTATAGGAATTCATAATTTCTAGACTGGAGCTCCAATTGAGTCAAGATGCTTTCCAGACAGAAATATAGACATTGAGCAAACACATACTGTATTCCCTCCTCAAAAAACGTTTTTTCTATTCATATATTTATAATAAATGTTTATTAAAATATATATTTAGCAAGCAACAAAATGCAATTGTGTTGGCTAGTGTAAAGTGCATTATGATAAAGCCCATGTTGCACAGTGCGTATGCTTGACATTTGACTTTCCCATTTGCTGCCCTTCACATCTCTACAGATGCACATAGATATCACATATATATGTAGACAATTATATATGCGTATGCATATATATATATATATATATTTATATATATATATATATATATATATATATATATATATATATATATATATATATATGTTCGCATTATGTTTAATATTTACGACTTAAAAAGCAAACGCGTTATTGTGCTCTACCCCTGTTCCTGTTGCAGTCCGATTTTTGTGCATGTAAATTGCATTTAAAGCAATAAATCAGTTTTAATCAGCCCACGGTCCACGCAGCTGAGCCTTGCCGAATAGCAACTGCGTCTGCTCTGCACCAGATAGGCCTCTTTATAAATATGCAGACACACATACGCGCACTTATATGCATTCGCTTATACAGGTCCATCCACATATGTGCGTCTGCATGTGCATGGGCAGGTTGGCTGGCTGCGTGGATCTGCGACGCAGGTGATATAAGTAAACCCACTTGGTATGGACAGCGCTTCATTAAATAGTTTTGTGTGCTGATTATTATTGAATTCAGTTGATTAAAGTGCGTGGATAAATGGAAAAGCTGTGCGGATAATCATCGGCAATCGTTCTGCGATCTTTTAATCCCTTTACCGAATGAATATTCAGTTGAGATTGAGATTGAGATTGAGATTGAGTAACTGGTTGAGCAGTTCACAAATGCTTCAAGTTCTTACCTCTTTGAGTGTACTTGTTATTAACACCTTGATCGAAAACATTTTTGACGCTTAAGATATTTTAACAATTTGGCAATTGCCCAAAGAGACTTAAAGCTAAAAGATAAACTCTGAAAGGTATCATTGTATAATACGCCGAGATAGCGCAGAGTTAAGCGTGTCTCCTAGTCAGGTAATCCCTACCAAAAACACTTTCTGTTGCTTTAAGTTCCGTCTTGGATATCGTTTCTATTAACGTTATAACTTCACATATTCCCAAGGCTACCTAATTTAAAGGTTTTTCTATTGTTTCCCATTCTTATTTCTACTCGAGTGCATAAATCTCTGGAGGTAGCAGCTGTTGTTGCAAAAGTTACTTCAATTCGGATATATATTTATTTATTAAAATCAATAAATGCACAACATTTAATTATTATTATTTTTTTCTATTTTTATAATCAGTCTAAGATTAGTGTTGAATATGCTCAAAGAATTTTTTTTGTCTGCAATGAAAACAAAATGAGTTTGTTGACTT